AAATTAATTATGAATGAGAGAGCTATATAGTTTATACATATTTCATATAGTTATATCTAAGACTAGTTATCATACCAAAGCTCTCTTTGTGTGTGGTAAGAGACAGAGATAGGGAAGCATTTTTGATTAAAAAGTTTTTTGATTTCAGGCTTTCAGTTGTCCTGTGTCCCTGAATTGTGATTTTCACAAGTATTTTTTAGATTTTTTTTTCCTCCTCGAAGTGGATGTGTCTGCAGTGGGGAAAATGCCCTTCTCCAAGGTGTGAAGAGTCTGGTAATGTCTCTTCCCTGGATAGTAGGCCTTTGCTATGGAGAAAACTCTGAGCAATATTTCACAAAGTCACATCTGGAATGGGATCTTTCTTGGATCTTCACATTAAAAAGTGGATATAAATCCCACAAATGTGAGACCTCCTCTAAGTCTTATATCCAAGAGATTTTCATTTTCACTTTGGTCTACATTCAGTTTCTTATAATTCATCAAATTACCTTTAAGCTTTTTTACCAGTTTCTGGCTCTTGCGGCTTCAATTTCAGGTTAACTGATCTTGACTGTGTCTCACCGATTTTGTCGTTATTCCCCAGATTTTGGGGTGATGTTTTACCCTGTTACACTTATTCTTTAATAATAAAAGAAGGGTCATTGATTTGCAGTTTGTTTAGCTTTGCCTTTTATAAGGAACAGAGTGAAGACTTCTGAGTTCTTTACAAATCAGTGTTGAAACAAGAAGTCTGGGAGTCTGAATTTTAACTTTTACCTTTGGAAGCCTTTGGCCATAATATTGGAAATTCCAACTTTATAGGAATATAAAAATATAAAAAAACTATAGAAATAAACAAATACAGGACTAGCCAAAACATGTGAGGCTACCACAAATATCACAAACATTTATTAGATAACACAATTGTAAAAAAAAAAAAGAAAAGAAAAGAAAAGAAAAAAGAAAAAAACAGAAAAAAAGTCAGAAGTGATGTACATGTTTAATAACATTCAGCTTAGCTAGCTTCACAAAGGTATTGGCCTGCTATTGGGACAGAATATTTAAAGTCTGTTGTCTAATGTTCTCTAGATAGTGTTTAAAAGGGCAGATATGATGTTTCCACAGTGACTTCTTTTTCTAAACTTCTGATGCTAACCAGGTGCCTACCGCCCTGTTTCTATGATTGACATATTCTTTCCTTAGTTAATTTTAGATAGTTTGGTAATAGATAATCCTGGAAGCTGTTTTTATAAGGAGGACATTTCCTTGTCTCTGCTCTGGCTTATTATGTGAATTATTATGTTTTAATAGTAAGTACATCATCTTATTATTTTATTTTCCCTTACTTGGTATAAATGTTATCTTATTTAAATAGGCTAATTTCCCAGGTGATAATATATTTTTGCCCTTCATGCCATTTTCTGTGTTGGGTCACCTTTCTTTAGAATATTCTGGAAGAAGAGAAATTCAAATAGTCAAACCTGTCCAATATTTGGTTAGGAAAGTATTCCAAGCTCTTGATTTAATGAAGTTTGAGAGTTGTCTTAACTTCCATTTATCTATGCTGTCTTTGCTGCCCCATTATATGGATGAATGTGACCCAAGGGTGGACAGTAAGTACTTGGTGACTGACTGAAGCACAAATGTTAGTTGCCACAAAATAAAGTTGCCTACTAAGAGGCAACAGGGTCAAAGCTTTTCACCCTAAATGAAATATTTTTGACAGTTTCGCTTATAAAAGAAGTTAATAATGTTAACAGGAGCTACAGTAATATTGTTGGCTTTTTCACAGTATGTACAGTATTATTGAAATATGTAAATGTAAGAAGTCTATTTTAATAAGTTCTTTTTAAAGGTATGAATGTGCCCTTTTGATGGGAAGAATAAAAATAAAAGATAATTAGGTTGACTGCTATGAAAGCACTCACATTTCTACCTTGGGCTATAGTGAAACATTCTGCCTGAGTTACACAGCTTGATTTATCCATGAAAATTGCATTTATAGTACTCCTAGAGCAAGGAAGTATAGAAACTAATGTCATGACCTTAAATAAGAATTCTAAATCTAATAAGAGCCTCTTTTAATGTAAGGATGTGATTTAGAAGATGCATTTTAATAGTACTTATTAAACCTAATATATAAGAAAATTTGTACTTGGACTGTGTTGTTGAAACTCTTGAAAATAGAGAGCTTTGACTTCAAACTCAGAACATTAACATGAAAAGACATGTCAGTTTCTTGATCCACCTAGATTCTTACCCCATGGCGCAGTCTGTGTCCATGGTTTAAGCTTCATGTAAGGATGGATATGAAACTGGTCAAAACTTGGGACGACAAAGCTTCACACTAAATTTGTGATTAACTCTGTTCTGGTCCTGATAGCTGAGTTGCTTATAGCCAGGATTCTGTTCCTATCTGTCAGTGTCTTCTGATTAAGGGCCTACCTTGTACTCTGGCATCACAGTTCCACTTATATTTTCCCATTCTTTAGCAGCCGGGTTGCTGTCATGACACATCAAATCTCCAAACGATTGGGTTCCTGCCCACACATTTTTGTCCCTTCTCCTGCTTGATGCTTCTGAATTTCTACTCTCCTGTTCTCATCTCTGGTAAGATAGACAGCTGGACTGTAGGATTGCTTTCAGTACTCATTTGGGAGTCATAATTTAATCTGGACTGTATAAGTTTTAGACAGTCTCAATCATAAGGAAAAAAAAAACCCAAAACCTGTCTTTTAAAATAATTTCAAAAATTTGAGGTCTGAATATATCTTTAGGGTGACTATTTGTTTTAGGAAACAAATAAAATTATACCTCCTGCAATAAGACAAATACAGAAAGAACACACAATGTTTGTGATCCTTTAAGTTATATAAGTGAAAATTAAATATCCTCAACCAAAACCAATATTTGAAGCTGGAAATGTTGAATCAGTGAAGCTACTTTGTGTGTTTATAGAGACATGAGCTGGTTACAGTCTTATTAGTTTCACCTTTAAAGATCATTCCTCTTAAAAATATTTATCTTAAAAGTGTGAGTTTAAAGTATTACATGATTTCATTAGTTACATTTGCTCTTGAGAATATAAGTTGTATTATTTTTTCTATATTGCTCACCGTGGTTTGGGGACAGAAAATGCAAGGACGAGGGAAAGTCTAGTTCTACCCCTCTCTTTAACTTTGAGTGAAAGGAGAAATTGAAGAGGAGTTCCAAGGCATTCTGTCATCTTAACATAAACTATACTATCAATTCCCTAGATTTAGACTGAATAGGAAAAAATGCTTTGATATTGGGCTATTAAACTCTGTACACTTCTGTCCATGTGGAACCATAAGGAAAGATTAATCCCTTTGAAGGGAGGATCTGCTTTTCCTTTAATAAAGTGGCTATTTCTGATGTCAGTCCTCCTGGGAAAACAGATTGCTCCCAAGACTTTGTTGTGGGATTGGGGAAGGGGTTGTAAAGGAGAGAAGCTAACATGGTCAGGAGGCAGTTGAACCTGTGATCACTATTGTGGGAGACTTGTGCCCCGCAGTGGTGATAGGTTATGGAAGCAATGTAATAGGTACTAGACCAGAATAGGAGAGATTATGAGGTTATGTAATTGTGGAAATGCTGGTAGAGGAAGTAGTGGTGGAACTGAAATTCTTGAAATCAAGACTGTGGGGTCTGAGTCAGTATAATTTTAGTGCTTAATGAAAATATGGCATTCTTTCAGAATCACAGCAACTTTAAACCAATCTTTTTTTGAACTGATGACCTTGTATTTTTAGTTTTAGTTCCAGACCTTACCTCAAGGTCAGAATCCTTCTAAGGCTTATACCTTTATGAGCTATTACTTTAATTAATGAAAGGAAATTTATTATTTTTATTCCAGCTACTAAGTGAGGTGACAGAATTTTTAAAATAAATTTTTGTTATCTAGCGGAGTTTAGGAAATTCTTTACATTACTGTTTGAGTTCATTTTGACATTTGAAGATCTAGTGTGACTTTGGTTCTATACAGAAATATGCTGAAATGCTACTCCTGTGAAGTCTTCTGTGGCTCCTCTCAGGGAAAATTAATTTTATCTTTTGATCTTCTTTGGTACCTTTAAATGTTTTTAATGTTTATTTATATTTGAAAGAGAGAGAGAATGGGGGGGAGATGTTGGAGGGGCACAGAGAGAGAGGGAGACACAGAATCTGAAGCAGGCTCCAGGCTCTGAGCTGTCAGCACAGAGCCCGATGTGGGGCTCGAACCCACAGACCATGAGATCATGACCTGAGGTGAAGTTGGACGCTTCAACCAACTGAGCCACCTAGGTGCCCCATCTTTGGTACCTTTTTTAAACTTAATTTTTAGGACAGTTTATATTCCTGTTACTTTTGTGCATATCCTGTGTGTCTATGGGATTCTACCCTTCTTGAGAGCAGGTATAATTTCATTTATTTCCCAGCAAGTATTAATTACTTGTTACATTCTTGTTCTCCCTCCCTGAGCATTTAACACAAGACAGAACACACATACAGTAGGTGTGCAATAAATGTTGGTAAAAAACTAACAAAAGATAATATTTTCATTTTCTCAAGCTCCTTGCAATAACTTTCCTCAGTATGTCCCTAATGGTCAGAATGTAAGACTGACCCAGGGGTCTTCGTGTATATATATTTGATAATTAAAAAAAGTCCCACACCTTGAAAATATCATTTGGATATGTCTTATTTCTAAATAAATTATGAGATATTAGCTAATGTGGGATAAAGCTTTTTTCCCCCCATAGAAAACATACATGCTGTCAGTGCAATGCAGTCAGCTACCAACATTGCAAAGGAGATTGAAAGAACAAAGAATATGACAAAATAGGATTTTCAAAAACTGTAAACTTGTCACAAATTTTGAATTTCCTACATTTAAGTGAACTTGTATCTCTGCTTTCTACAATTCTAATTTCTTCTGCAAAATATAAATTGAACAATTTATGGGTTGAAGTAAAAATCTTGGCCAATGGTATATTAAAAACATGTTTCTCCTTTTCTAGGTTGTGCATCCCTTGAGGATAGGGATTATTGTGTTTTTTCCATCTTGGAATTCCCAGCATTTCTATAATCCCTGGTAAGTAGCAAATGCTTAATGTTCACTAAGTGAAGCAATTAATTTGATATTTCCATATTTACCTCTTCACTCCAAAGTTCGTTATATCTGTCAATATGAGGTATTTTATTTCTTGCTGTCTTTCAAACAAATTCTCCTCTAAAATAAATTAAGAATAAACAACATGGATTTTTTTTTCATTTTATTTATTTACGTTTTTCATCATGATACATGTACTATTTAATCCCCATCCCCTACTCCCATTCCCCCATCTACCTCCCCTCTGGTAACTATCAGTGTGTTCTCTATTGTTATGATTCTGGTTTTTTATCTCTCTCTCTCTCTCCCTCTCTTTCCTTTGCTCATTTGTTTTATTTCTTAAATTCCACATATGTGTAAAATCATATTTTATTTGTCTACTCTAATTTCACTTAGCATTATATTCTCTAAGTTCATCCATGTTGTTGCAGTTGGCAAGATTTCATTCTTTGTTTTCAGTCTGAATAATATTACATTATATATACATTACATGTGTATATATATGTGTATATATATATGAATGTATATACATGTATATATGTGTATATGTGTGTATAAATATGTATGCATACACGGTGGACACTTGAGCTGCCTCCATAGTTTGGCTACTGTAAATAATGCTGCAATAAACATAGAGGAGGTACATGTAGGCCTTTGAATTAATGTTTTTGTATTTTTTTGATAAACACTCAGTAGTGCAAATCCTGTATCATAGGGTAGTTCTGTTTTTAATTTTCCATACTGTTTTTGCACAGTGACTGTACCAATGTGCATTCTTACCAACAGGATTCTTAAAAATCCTTTTTAATCCACATTCTCAACAACACCTTTGGTTCCTATGTTTTTGCTTTTAGCCGTTCTAACAGGTTTGAGGCGATATCTCATTGTAGTTTTGATTTTCATTTCCTTGATGATGAGTGATGTTGAATATCTTTTCATGTGTGTTGGCCATCAGGACATCTTTTTTGGAGAAATATTTGATATTGTCTTCTGTTCATTTGTAAATTGGATTATTTGTTTTTTGGGCATTGAGTTGTGTCAGTTCTTTATATAATTTGCATACTAACCCTTTATATGATTTGGATACTAACCCTTTATTTGGAAGGTATTGGCAAATATATTCTCCCATTCGGTAAGTCCTTTTAGTTTTGTTAATTTTGTTTCCTTCACTGTGCAGAAACTTTTTATTTTGATGCAATTCCTATCGTCTATTTTCCTTTTATTTCCCTTGTCTCAGGAGATCTATGTAGAAAATATTTCTAGGGCTGAAGTCATAGAGATAACTGCCTGTGCTCTTTTCAAGGATTTTTATAGTTTTAGGTCTCACATTTATGTCTTTACTCCATTTTGAGTTTATTTTTGCATATGGTAAAAGAAAGTGGTCAAGTTTCATTGTTTTACACGTAGCTGTCTGGTTTTCCTAATACCATTTATTGACGAGACTGTCTTTTTCCTATGGTATATTCATTCCTCCTTTGCTGAAAAATAATTGACCCTATAATTGTGGTTTTATTTCTGCATTTTCTATTCTGTTCTAGTGATCTATGTATCTATTATTATGCTAGTACCATACTGTTTTAATTACTATCACTTTGTAATATACCTTGAAATCTGGAATTGTGGTAACTCCAGTTTTCTTTTTCTTTTTCAGAATTTCTTTGGCTATTCTAGGCATTTTGTGGTTCCATAAAACTTTAGGGTGTTTTGCTCTCATTCTGTGAAAAATGCTGTTGACATTTTGATAGGGATTGCATTAATTGGATAGTGTAGGTATTTTAAAAATATTTTTCTTCTGATCCATGAGCATGGAATGTGTTTCCAACATTATTATTCCAATATTATTTAATTGAAAAGTGAATCCAAGCTTCATGTACTATGAGTTTATTTATACATGACCTTTTAAACATTATTTTTTTTAGACCAAATATATTGAGAGGGGATTCACAGAAAAACCTTCAATCATGGAAGCCCCACTGTGTGGGAAAATTCTGAGTGTCTGAAAAAATTATTTAAAGAATAAAGGTATTATATTTCCTCTAAAAACTGCTTCAAGTGATATCAGTGAAAGGAGTCAGCTTGAAATATTTAGATATCTGTTGGGCACAGATACATGGTAAAAAAAAAAAAAATACTTTACAATTAGAAGAAAGAAGCATTGTAAAAGCAGAGAGCCTACAATACAAGTAGTCTCTTTTGTTTCTTAGAAGGCAGTATAAAGGCTCCTGATTTAATAGGCAAGACCCATAGTTCAGTTTCCATCTTCCCTTGTGATGATTGAGTCTGGTTTAATAGATAAAAGCTCAGCTCTGAGATGAGGCACTTTCATGGACCCTGGATCCCTAATCCGATTCAAAGGGTAGGAAGACAAAGGGACAATTTTAGCATATTAAAGAATTATAAGGTGTCCCCTCCCTTTCTTTTCTGTGTTTAGTATTAGCTGTGGAAAACAAGTGATGTACAGGAACTGGCTCTTACTGGCTTATGAGAGCCATTTGTGCATATCTTCAACACCTTGTGTTTAATGCTGTGATTTGAAATTGGCCATGGTAGGGATATTTAAATGACAAAAAAGGCAATTGCTACATGTCAAAGGTTTTTTTTTTTTTTTTAATATTTTTATTTATTTCTAGGAGAGAGAGACAGCGTGAACAGGGGAGGGTCAGAGAGAGAGGGAGACACAGACTCCGAAATAGGCTCCAGGCTCTGAGCTGGCAGTCAGCACAGAGCCCGACGCGGGGCTCGAACCCACGAACCGCGAGATCATGACCTGAGCGAAAGTCGGACGCTTAACCGACTAAGCCACCCAGGCGCCCCAAAGGGTTTTTGTTTTTTAAGAGCTGGTTTATCAGAACACCACTGCAAAAGATTTAGAAAGTTAATCAGAAAATTTAAATTAAAAGCAATTATTCATTATACTTTTTATCAGTTTTCTGAACTTATCCTCTTCTCTCTATTCTAGTTTCATCTGCCTGCTAGATAAAATGCTCTCATCTCAGCTTCAGGTACAGGCAAACAAGATACTTGTCCCTGTATAGTCCCTCAGTGCTTTAGCTGTATTTACAAGCAGTCTGTGTTTTCCTGCCTCTGTGAACTTTTTGCATACGATGGTCTTTATGTTTGGAAAACCTTTGCCTGTGTTGTTTCTCACCAAATCCTACCCATTCCTTAATACTCAGCAACAGTGTACATCATTCCTTAGGGAAACCTTTTCTTGACCTCTCCTACCACTACCATGAGCTGAATTAAGCATTCTGCTTTGTAATCCCATTATAGGCTCTGATTACCCTTATTATGCCATAATTATGTCATACAGTCTGCATTAGTTTTCTATCGCTGCTATAATAAATGACTTCAAATTTAGTGTCTTAAAATAACACACGTTAAACTTATTCTTACAGTTCTGGAGGTCTTAAGTTTGCTATGGGCCACAGTGGGCTGAAATGAAGGTATTGATGGGGCTGCATTCCTTGCTCAAGGCTGTAGGGGACAATCTGTTTCCTTGCCATTTCCAATTTGTAGTGGATGCCTTTATCTGTGACTCAATGAGTGTCTTTTATAGTCAAAGCCAACAATGGCTGGTCAGTCTTTCTTACTTATTACTCTGACACGGATTCTTCCACCCCTCTCTTCCAGGTTTCAGGATTCTTGTGGTTACATTTGGCCGATCTGGATAATCCAGGAAAACCTCCCTATTTTAGAATAATCAGGTTAGCAAATTTAATTACGTCTGTCACCTCAATTTTCTTTTGTAATGTACGTAAGATATTCATAATTTCTGGGGATTAGAATGTGAACCTTCTTGGGAGACCACTTTTCTGCTTACCACAGAGTTATAAATGTTATTTAACTTGCTTGTATATAGCTACAGTTTCCAGCACTGCATAAGGGCTCAAGACATAATTTTTTTAATAAATTCGTATTTACAAAATCATCAATTTTTCATAGAATCATGCAAATTGAAGATTGGAACAACTTTAATGCTCTGTTCTTTTGTATTTCTTGAACTGTGATAAGGACAATATTAGTTTAATTAATTTAAGAAGTTAATTGGCTATGTATCCTTGTATATGTTTTAGACCGTGCTCTTATAATACTACCATTCTTACTCTGATACATAACAAGTAATTGAATACATTGTAATGATGACAACATATTTAGAAGTGCTCAATTTTAGTAAAAATTCCTTGGACAAACTTTCTGAACCCCTGGTTAAACATTCTCATGAACTGCAAGTACTTTTGAATATTTCACCACCTTTCTGCACAGTTTTTCAACGTTCAACAAAAACGTATCATTTTCTAAACAGAAATCTGAACTCCTAAGTGCCTAGCATAAACAATAATCTGCATTTGATTTTTATCAATTGATAAAAATTTGACAAATATTTGATTTTGATGAATATCAAAAAGTATGTCATGTTTAAATTCATAGGAAAAAAATCTATCTGTAAGTCTCTGCTTTTTAAATAGATAAAGAAAAGCTTTGTGTTTTGTTTTTTTTTCCACAATGAGATATGGGTTGGGAATTTAATTTGAGCTGATATCCCCAAGGTAGTCAGAAGGTTATTTCAAAATAAAGAAAACTTAAAGAAACATCTTACCCAGTGGTTCAGTGACAATATATATTCTGTATCTGTCCAAATGAGAAAGGTAACACTCTCACCTTTAAATAATTTTTTACTCAACAAAACTTGCTGCTTAGCCCCATAGTTCTTTATAAGTACTGTGACTTTGTGGAACACTATATTGGAGAAGCTGATTGTAGAAGCTAATGTATAGACTAATGTAATTTAAAATCAGAATGTTGGTATTAAAAAGACTTTTTACACAGTGTTTAAAAATTATATTATGCAATACCAGTGTATTGATTTCTATAATATCCACAGTATGGTTCTGGAAAGGCAAATTAAAAGAGGACATAAAAATTCAAAGTAACTTACTGCTGTTTACAAAGACATGGGATTCTTATATTGGCAAAATCAGTCAATTATATTAACAAAGCTAGGTAAATAGTCAGCCACCAAATAATTTCTAGGCTTTTTCATATCTAGTTCAAAGTAATTTATCATATTGGATTTCCCTTCCCCCTTCTCTTAAGTAGGATCTGTGAAAAGCTGTCTCTTTTTACTCGTGAGATAGGATTTTTTTGCAAGTAATCTTTTTTTTGTTTGTCTCTTGAGGTTATTGTCATTAAATTGTTCTTATTAAACACAAAATATGCAAAGTACTGTGCTGCATTATGTTAAGAACATTCAGCAGACATGGTCCAGCACTCTCATTTCTATAATCTTCACAGTTGTGCTACAGAGTTCCTGATTGTATAATTTTGTCCTTTATTTCTTTGGTTTTCATGCCTGTGGAATTGCTGATGCAATTACAGATCATGGCCAAAATTGTAGGCTTGATCATAGACAGCATAATGAACCAGGGAATTGAGTATGACACTCAGGGAAAGTTATTGAACTCTAAGCTTCAGTTTAATAGAAGATAATATATATATATTTCAAGAAATATACATCTACATAAAAGATATTATCATAATATCATATAACAATATATTAATATGATACTATTAATAAATATATAATATATAAATATATAATAATGTAATATATAATTATTATATAAGAAGTGTCACATGTCATATATGATATATGTAATGTGAAATAATGATTTATGTATATATATATAAATTTTAGAATTAAATGAAATTAAGTTAAATACCTAGTACAGTTCTAGCACATGCTATAATCAAAACATATCAAACTTTCATCTCTGGAATGACTGAATCATACAACAGTGGTACTTTCTGAAGCTTCAAAGCAAAGGTGCTTCCCTGAGGAAAAGTCAGTTGTTAAAATAATAATTATAAAAGGCAAGGGTTCATTTATTTATTAATTAATGTTTTGACTATTGTACTCAAAGTTAGGAAGAGGATGCCCTCAAGGCAAAGGTTAATTGTAATGGCATAGATAGAAATCCACACATATTTTATCCCATTATGCTTTACAAAAAGAAAATTTTGGGTATTTAATGACTAAACCACCATCAGTCATTCCAGAGAATAATAAATATTTTTTGTCTGATTGTAATTCTTAAGCATAATTAAGGATGATGACTTTATAAAAATTCATTTTCCTAACCTTTGGGTAAATGCCAAATCATGTATAGCTACAAGTTGAAGCTAAAGTTGTGGGTAGAATTCATGTGTCCCATATGTCAAGACACAGTTAGGGTATCAATAATCTGAGTAATAGCTCCTATTTATTGAGGACCTACTATGAGCAAGAAACTTCACTCGATAGTTTATTTCTATGATCTCATTTAATATTCCCAGTAGGGCTACTAAATGGATAATATTATACTTTGAGAATAGACAAGGAAATAGTCTCAGGAAGGTTTAAATGGCTTTTTCAAAGAAGTCACACAACTAGAAAATGTTGGTGGTGAGGTTCCAATACTGATCCATCTATCTGATTCTGAGTGGAGGCTGTTCAACTGTGTTTTAGTACCTGTTTTCACCTCAGGCACTCCATTATTTTGAGGTGGGGAGGGGAGGTTTTATATTGTCGGATAGTTAGGCTGGAACTACATTTCCCAGAAGTACTTTCTCTGAATAGTTCTGAGTTAGGGTTAACCACAAGAGAAGTTGCACTGAATTTGGAAGGCAGAGACAAAGCAACAGCCATTGTGCTCTGAATGTTAGTGTTGAGCTCCAGGCATCACCAAAGTTCACCAGCTGCTTATCTGCTGGTTTACCTTATTGTAGGACACCCAACAGATCCTCAGCTCCTTTATCTTCTAGGAGTCCTAGACCAGTAAGGGAACAGTTCTATGGTGAAGGCACTAGCTTCTTCTGTACGTCCCTCCCTCAGATCTACATAGTTGTAGGTCCTGTTTGCCTATATAGGTCTCAGTTTTTCTTGAGGGTGCCAGATTTTTCTGGATTTGCCATGCCAGCTTTTCTTCCTTTCTCCTGGCTTGGCTTCCCTATAGTAACTTTAGGACCACTCTCAAACTAGAAAAAAACAACCTTCTGTAGAGTTCTCAATCAGAGTTTGCCCACAAATTGGGCAACACTAAATCTTTAAATTAAATTACTTACTCTATATTATACCCTAATGGTCCTGCCCCCCCTGATAAAACCATGACTATCAAACCTGTAAAATATGTCTTGCAGTGGTGATCATAGTTAATTTCTGGAACATTGTGATGGTGAAGCAAACTATAACCTATCTCTGTTAAATTACAAGTTAAACAAAATCATTTTTTCCCCTGCTTAAAAGTGAGTGGTATAAAAAGCTAAGATAATCTCTCTAAAGCTATTCTATTGAACAGCTACATCAAACATATTAGAGTCTGAGTATGATTTACATGCTTAAATTTACAATCATGAGGCCAAAATACCAGCTTGTGCTACTCACTGGTTCTTGCTATAAATTTCACCTAAGTCATCCAAACAAATTTGCATAGGATCAATTATAATCTTTGCTATTGAGTGTTCTGTGCTTTGTATTAATTAAGGTGATTGCCTTGTAATGACTTCATTACTTATGCCTGTACTCAGTTTCTGTATTACTAACAATTATGCTGTCTTTAATACTACAAGAAAAGTATTACATCTAGATCTAAATTGACTTTAAAATATTTAGAATCTATGTACTAGATCAATATATCTTACTTTTTTCCCTTCAGATTATACAGAAGTAGCTTCATTTAGTATTTAATACAAGGTTTTTCGATCATCCAAGCATGTGGATCTGTGTAATGTCAACTACAGACCCGATCAGAATCTCCTACTATCTAAAATGAAGTAAGAAATACATCTAATATGTGCTTCCATTTCCCCTATTTTTACCCATTGTTTACATTTCATAAGTCTCCACACTTGTGAACAAACTGAGAAATGTAATCTGGACAACAGAGGCCAATTAGTCTGGTAATAATAAGAACTGGTAAAGGAGTTAGAAATATAACAGCTTCATTTGTGTTCTCTTTGATGTTTAAAACCCTTCTCTATGCATTAACTTAATATTCATAAAAAATGTGTGTGATAAGCAAATCTTATCAGCCTTATTTCAAAGATGAGAAAATTAAGACTCAGTGATTTTAATGCTAAAATCACAGTTTAAAGAAGTGATTGAGCCATCAATTATTGACTGTTTTTTTGTTTGTTTAATGTAAAGCAAGTAGTATAGATAGTGGAAATGCTATATATTTTAGGTTTTATGACTCTTTCCGAATCAAAGATCTATGATCTTAACTAAAGCCCGGTGACTTTGACTAAGTCAGTTAGTTTTGCTGATCTATTTTTCATAGTATATAAATGAGAGTGTTAGAATTTACCTTACAACTTTATTATGAAAACTTTCCCAATATGTTTTATGGTATGGAATACTTATCAGATTTGTGAATGATTAAAATATTATTTTTAGTCTTTTAATGAGTATTTGGTTTATTTTTGAGTAGTTTGTCCTAAAATGTTTGAATCCCTATGTAATTATACTATTTTTAAGTTTGTTTTTTATTTATTGTGAGAGAGAGAGACAGGAAGAGAGAGAGTGGGGAAAGGGGAGAGGGAAAGTGAGAGAGAGGATCCCAAGCAGGCTCCATGCTGTCGGCATAGTGGGGCTCAATCCCAGAAACGATGAGATCATGACATGAGCTGAAATCAAACGTCAGATGCTTAACCGACAGAGCCACCCAAGTACCCTTTATATTACTTTTTAAAGTTATTTTTATCCATAAGAGTATGTATCTAATATTATAGCATAAAAGTTATAAAATTTTAGCATATTTTAGAATCACTTGTTAAAACACAAATTGTTGCAATATCAGACTTTGTGAATCAGTAGATCTGGAGTGGAATTCAAGAATTTGTAGTTCTAATAAGTTCTGAGTTGATACTACTTCTGCTGGCTCAAGGGTCACACTTTGAGAACCTTTGTTATTGGTGAAAATATCAAATAAAATAGAACTTTTGTTTTTGGTGAAAATATCAAATAAAATAGAACCTTTGTTATTGGTGAATATCAAATAAAATAGAATATGATGAACAGAACTTTACTTTCCAAAAACAAACAAACAACAAACAAAAAACCCAAAACATGTGCAAAAAATCACTTGGCTGAAAATCATTTTTAAAATATACTTCTTTAAAGTACCATTTTAGATTTATGGAAATATTGAGAATATAGTATAGAGTTGCCAATATACTGCATGATAAGTTTTTATTAACATTTTATATTAACATGATACATTTTTATAAACAATATGATAGGTCATTATTAACTAAGGTCTATAGCTTACCGAGATTTATTTATTTTCTTAGTTTTACCTAATGCCTTTATTTGGGGTTCTAGAATACCACATTTATTTGTTTGTTTGTTTTTGAGTACTTCCCTACTTTTTTGTTATTTTTTTGCTTGTTTCTTTATTATCTGGTGTAAGTTACTCCAGATTCATTTTGTATTAGCTCCTTCCC